ATTTACCTGAGATATTCAAAAAAAATCATCAAAAAAGTTATGATTTTCGAACCGACCCCGATTTTGATAAAAAACGTGATGTAACCCCTTGCCATTTTGGTCGATTTGGGTCAAATTTAAGATTTTCATTTTTTTGATGCAAGTCGATAGTACTGATTCTTACGAGTCGAAAATGGTATAAAATTCCACAATCGGACATTATTTGGCCCAGATATTCAAAAAAATCATCAAGAAAGGTTGACTTTACAAACGAATCGTTTTTGGGTCCACAACTTTTTTTAACCCACCGATTTTTAATTTGTTTGAATGCCAATTGATAGTAGGGATCCGTACAAATTCAAAAAGGTATAATATTTGAAAATCAGACGTTATTTACCCGAGATATTCAAAAAAAATCATTAAAAAAGTGATGATTTTCGAACCGACCCCGATTTTGATAAAAAACGTGATGTAACCCCTTGCCATTTTGGTCGATTTGGGTCAAAATTTAGATTTTCATTTTTTTGATGCAAGTCGATAATACTGATTCTTACGAGTCCAAAATGGTATAAAATTCCACAATCGGACATTATTTGGCCCAGATATTCAAAAAAATCATCAAGAAAGGTTGACTTTACAAACGAATCGTTTTTGGGTCCACAACTTTTTTTAACCCACCGATTTTTAATTTGTTTGAATGCCAATTGATAGTAGGGATCCGTACAAATTCAAAAAGGTATAATATTTCAAAATCAGACGTTATTTACCCGAGATATTCAAAAAAAATCATCAAAAATGTTATGATTTTCGAACCGACCCCGATTTTGATAAAAAACGTGATGTAACCCCTTGCCATTTTGGTCGATTTGGGTCAAAATTTAGATTTTAATTTTTTTGATGCAAGTCGATAGTACTGATTCTTACGAGTCTAAAATGGTATAAAATTCCACAATCGGACATTATTTAGCCCAGATATTCAAAAAAATCATCAAGAAAGGTTGACTTTACAAACGAATCGTTTTTGGGTCCACAACTTTTTTTAACCCACCGATTTTTAATTTGTTTGAATGCCAATTGATAGTAGGGATCCGTACAAATTCAAAAAGGTATAATATTTCAAAATCAGACGTTATTTACCCGAGATATTCAAAAAAAATCATCAAAAAAGTTTCAATTTTCGAACCGACCCCGATTTTGATAAAAAACGTGATGTAACCCCTTGCCATTTTGGTCGATTTGGGTCAAAATTTAGATTTTCATTTTTTTGATGCAAGTCGATAATAAAGATTCTTACGAGTCGAAAATGGTATAAAATTCCACAATCGGACATTATTTGGCCCAGATATTCAAAAAAATCATCAAGAAAGGTTGACTTTACAAACGAATCGTTTTTGGGTCCACAACTTTTTTTAACCCACCGATTTTTAATTTGTTTGAATGCCAATTGATAGTAGGGATCCGTACAAATTCAAAAAGGTATAATATTTGAAAATCAGACGTTATTTACCCGAGATATTCAAAAAAAATCATCAAAAAAGTTATGATTTTCGAACCGACCCCGATTTTGATAAAAAACGTGATATAACCCCTTGCCATTTTGGTCGATTTGGGTCAAAATTTAGATTTTCATTTTTTTGATGCAAGTCGATAGTACTGATTCTTACGAGTCCAAAATGGTATAAAATTCCACAATCGGACATTATTTGGCCCAGATATTCAAAAAAATCATCAAGAAAGGTTGACTTTACAAACGAATCGTTTTTGGGTCCACAACTTTTTTTAACCCACCGATTTTTAATTTGTTTTTGGGGATAGTAGGCTTCCGCACGAATTTAACTAATCAATTATTGTAAAAGTATATTTCGGTTAAGTTTTAAATACTTTTGTTCCTTTCAAACTAATTTTGCTTAACTAATATATTGGAATTCCAGACTTTAATCAGTTGGGTTCAAAACGGATGCAATATCATTTTGAATTTGTAATCAAACAGGGCCAGTTTAGATGCCAGATGAAATTATTTTTCTATTCGCACAGAAAGTCCACTTTATTAACACGATTGCATTATATCCAGATTTCGTAGGCTAATGCAAATTTTCATTGCAGTCAGTTTTTGCTGTCAAGTTGTCGGAGCGTATGCGTGATGCACTACCTCTGCACTGAGTGCAATCGCAGCGCGTTGTATCAAAGGGCAACTAAAATGAAGCCCATTCCAGGTGCTTCCTGTGATGGGAGAAAAGTCACGTCGTTTTCAGAGTTTCGCTGGGCTGAATTTAAGTGCCAACCGGCAAGTTCGGGCGCACGTAGAAACTGTACGACGAAAAAGGGAATGCCAAATGCAGGGCCGAAACTTGGGGTCAATTTGAAGCGCGAGCTATCTTTGGCTGTATGTGCAATATTTATTGCGCACACGTCGTGTTGATTTTGCAGGCTCAACCAGGCCACAAAATTGTTAAGTGGCTTAATTAGGGCTACAAAGTGTTTGGCCAATTGAACTATCTTTCTAAGCAGCCAGCGTACAAGTCTTGCGAATAGCCGTTAATCAGCTTAGAGCACATTGTGTTGGCTGTGCACCTGGCCTGCCACCTTTACCAGGACCACAAGCTGGACCCGGCGCCAATGCTTAAGCCGCTTTGTGCTGGCTGTGGACTGTTGGCTGCTCTTTGAAACCGCGTCTGCCACAAAGTGGTCCACATAGCATTGCTCAGCTCATTTTATTTTCTTTTTTTTTTTTCTGATTATTTCATAGAAATGTTGAAAGAATAAAACTTATGGCGCTTTCGACGTAGCTTATTTAGTGGCCTTTGACTTGTGAAGCGTTTAAAGCTAGTTTCAGCTGCCCTGTAAAATTTAAATGAGCCAGCTAGGTAATCTACAAGGTGCTGAGATTAAACGCTTAATTAGCATAATATGAGAAAATCTAGACCAGTTAAAATAGCAAAAAAGAAAGTCTTTCAAAATTATGAGCATATAGAAATTATAGTTCACAAATGACAGACTAATCGCCTAGATAATTTTTGTGTAAAACGTATTCTATCTTTCATTTTCTCAAGCTTTGTGCTCAATACCCAAGCATAGTTTTAATTTTAACTTTTAATTATTTCTCTTTTCAATTTTTGCGTTGTTTTCTTATAGGGCATCCTTAAGTCGAAAATGCCCAGCTGGTCGCGTTCATTCATTTAGTTCGCGGTCTGAGTCTCAGCTGGTTGTGGCACACACAAAAGGCAGGAAATTGAATAAAATTGCCATGTTATGATTATAGAAAGGAAGCGTGTGCAAGGTTCAGGAGCCAGCCAAAGCACTTCCAAGCGGAGGGCGATGAAAAGTTGTTCGTTTGCTTTGAGTCTTTGCGGCGTATTCGAGGCCACATTAACTAACTGTGCGGCTTAACAACCCGCTGATAATGAGCCAGTTGACAGTTGCACTTTGACTTCATGGTATGAAAATATAATTTGCAGTCAGTCGTGGGCGCACAGACATTGGTTGGAGCTCCACTGAGCAATTTCGCATGCATTGCCTGGTCATATTAATATTATTTTTTATTTTTACCATTATTGTCGCTGCTGTTGTTGTTGTTGTTATTAAGGTGGGAAATCAGCGCTCAGCAGGAGGCGATATTAAATTTGTGTTTTAATTTTATTAAACAACGGCGTCCACTTTACACATCAATAACGCCGCGACTCCAATTGCCACAAATGAAAGGCGAGCGGAACGAGAGAGAGTGAATGTGGAGTGAATGTGGCGGCAACCAGGCTTCCCTTGTGGCTGAGCGTTAAAATATTGACATGTGCTGCTGCTGGTGCTACAGTTGTTGCTGGGTGCTGGTGTGTGTTGGTGTTGGTGTTGGGTGTTGCATGTTGCTGGTGGGGCTGGCCAGCGTATCACATGACCAGTATTGTTGGTGGCCATCGCGTAAATAAAGCGTAAAATTGTGTGTGTGTGTGTTGTTTTTTTTTCGCGCGTTGTTTGTTGTGTGCTTTTTTAAAAAAATGGAAAACACAAACAATCAAATACATTTCACTGTGTGTGTGTTGTTGTCCATGTGTTAAAATGACCTTTGGCTTTCATTGTCGCCACTGCAGCAGCCAGTGCAAACATTTGTATGCCCTTTAGACAAGACAACAATGGAGGCTATATGCAAAGCAAGCAACACTTTGTGACAGAACGAAAGACATGTCGGAAGACAATTTACATCTATATGCCATTCACCTATTTCCGCCTGTTAACAAGTTTATGTAGTTTTAAGGCAAAGACTATCTATAGAAGTTGGCAAATAAATTAATTGATTACGTCAATGGGTATCTTGCTGTCGAGCATTTTTTACACATAGTTGCGTCCGTTGTAGTAGCTGCTGCTGCTGCTGTTGCCTTTCATTTGATTTTTCTTTTTCAGCCTCAAGCTGTTTCGTTAATTGCATATTTAAATTTATGCTGTTAATTGTTGGCCATCCACGAGGATGCACTGCCGGGCGCCTTTTAAGTTATGGCTTCACTGTAGCGACCCCTTGCCGCCAGCCGAACCCCGCCGCCACCCGCCGCCGTTTCCGCTTCCGTCAGCTGGCTGCTGAGTAGCTCAGATGCATCAACGGGTCGACATCAATTTAATGAAACCTTTTAAAAGAAAATAAGAGCAAATGCATACATCCTGTTGGTCGGGACAAGTGACTGACGCTTCAGCCCGAAGCGAGTCTTTAGACTTGGCGATTAGATAGCTGCACAGTTGCCTGCGTATTGAAGTATTCCCGCAGAAGCATAATTTATTTAGTTATTTTCAAATAAAATAACTATATTGAAAAACCCTTTCGAGTAACGATAAAATAACTATGGTTTGGTTCAGGTTCAGCAGCTTTTTGAGCAGATAATTTGGTTTAAGGTTCCCCTAGTTGTCAGAGAACTGAAATTCCTTCAAGCAGATAATATTTTTGCTTAATTTCTTAATTTGATTAAGTATTTTCTTCGCTTCACATATTTCATAAGGCTTGCATTTCAGCCAAGACATTTGAAATTGTAGTTTGCTGCAGATACTTTATTATTAATAATAATTGAGTTGCAAATCCAGAGGTGCTCAATATAAATGGTATATAGCTCATCTTTAGCCGAGACAAAGAGCTGAACGTTAAACAGCAGGAAATGCAACTGGTTGAAAGGAGAAAACATGAACAAGAACAAACTAACTGAATACACAAGGAACTTAAAACAGGGACAAATACAGAGGCAGAGCCAAGGGCAAGGTATTTGGCTCGGTAGCTGCAATTATGCGCATATGAATCCGAGCTTTTGGAGTGCCTCAGCGATGTGGGGCTTCTCAAGTTCGTGTGGTTGTGGCTCCAATTGAAGCAGCTCTTCCATACCGTAGCGTTTCACCGATTTCTTCGCCACCTGCGGCATCTCGTAGTCCTCCTTGGCAGACGCCTCCCAGGCGGGCGACGGCGTGGGCAGCAGGCCGCAATTGGCAAAGGCGCGCGTTATATTGCGGGCGTGGGTCAGATTGCCGCGACGCCGCTCGCCTCTGGCCACCAGCGGAGCCGGTGGCCAATAGCGCGGCACAAAGAGCTCGCGATCCTTGGCGCCGCTTGGCTGCGGCTTGCTCTGACCCACGGCTGTGGCTGTGTGCATGATGTTGCCCTGGCTGGATGGGCCCATGGCACGCTGTGATGCCGCTGCGTTCTCTTCGAGCTTGATCAGAGTCCTGCCGGCCATGTTGTTGTTCTCCTTGTTGGCGCCTGCCGCCGCCTCGTTGGCCTTGGCCTTGCAGCGCTCGTCCCACTGCTTTACCGTGGGTATATAACGCTTCGGTGTTGAGCTCGCCGGCGGCGGCGGCGGCTGCTGCTCCGGCTGGGGTGTGGACTGGGCGTCGGGCTTGGCTGCGCGTTGCAGGCATATGTAGCGACTGGCTGGCTGCATGCCGTCGGCCTTTTGCTGCTGCTTCATCTCCAGCTCGTCGCGCATCTCGCGCAGCACGCTCTCGATGTGTTCGCGCTTGATGATGCGCAGCCGGTTGACACGCACGCGCTCCTCCGGCGTAAAGTCCACGGGCGAACGTGTCAGATGAACTATGATCTGTGGCTGGTCAAGGGTCTCTCGCATGCGTCGCTGCTCGACCAGCTTCAGCGCCTCCAGGGCCACCTTACGCTCCTGCTCGCGCCGCTTCTCGTCCGGCACGGCGGACTTTATGAGGGAACGCTCTTTCAGCTGCTTCTTGCGACTGCCCGGCGACGTGGACGACTCCTTGTCCGGTTGAGCGCGCTTCAGACGGGCCTCGCCTTTTGTCTCATCACCAATGACTGCAACCCTCAGATCTTTGCTCTGGGCCGAAGCTGCAGATGTGTGGCGAAATGGAAGCGATTGCAAGAGGGAGTAGCTACTCGGAGTACTTACACGCTTTGCTGGATCGGTCGGCAGGTATCGGCTTGGGAAAGCCCTTCCAGGGCAGCATTAGCTTCGGCTGCGTCGGCTTGCGCACGTCCAGTGCCTCGAAGTGGCGCTTCAGCTCGCCCAGACGCACGTCCTCGGCCTCGACGCTGGCATCCTTGGAGCGCGGCACAAACACGCTCGCGTTCACATTTAGCTTGGCTGCGGCTGCGGCTGCTTCTGCTTCTGCTTCAGCAGCTGCTTCTGCTGCTGCGTCTCCGGGATCTGCCGCGGTTTCCTCGCAGTCGCTTTCGCTCTCATTCTCTCTGTAGAAACGCAGCAGCTCGGGCAGCGGCTTCTTCAATATCTCAAAAACGGCGCGACTCTTGATCAAGTTGTGCATCCTGGCTAAGGATATCACGTTCTATCGATACTTAATTGGGGCGGAAGCTAAGCAATATAATACGAGTCGGAAAGCTACGGTCTGTTGACTGCTTCGATAATAATATGCGAGTATTTACACATAACAGCTCTTGTCTGACAGATATCCTCCAGCCTGCTCGTAAGCAATTGCAATTTCGGGAAAGGTTACTCAAACTCCGAGAGATTAACCCCCTTTTAGGTGCAGCTCTTGGTGGCTTGTATTGTATGTTTATTTGCCAGACTAAACAAATAATTTGCCTAGCTGGAAATTGGTATCCATTGTCGAGCATTTTCCTCAGTTGACATTTACGAGTATTTGCACAATAAACGGGGGGCGATGGACGGGCCAAGTGAGCAACTCGGTCAAGTGCAGTCAGCCTGAAGACGGGCCACGGTACACGACATTCAATAAAACGTTTGCTATTATTATGCGAACACACTCGTACACACACACTCGTACACACACACTCGCACGCACACACACACATCGTCTGGAGCTCGGCGAAATGAAATGAAATGAAGGAAGCGCACAGAAATATGCAATTTCACCTCAATCACAGCTGTAAAAACAAACAATGGGCCAAGCGCTGAGCTGCACTGCAGGGGCTGCCTTAACTCCACATAACCCAATCCAATCCCAACCACATCCCAACCCCCCCGCACCGCGTCTGCTCCTCATCCTGCTTATCCCAAGTCGTTATCGTCATGCGAGCCACATGCTGTTTGCTCTGCTCGCTGTTCCCTTATCATTTTGCAGGTAAGTAGAAAAAGAAGTGCAATAAGTAAAACGTAATTACTTGTCCTCAACTTACCCCTACCCCCACTCCTCGTGCAATGTATCATAAGAAGACGAACCAATGTAATCGCAATGCCAATCGCAACAAATTGCCAAGCAGGGTCAGGTCTCCGCGAAACGAAATTCGATCGGAGCACAGAAAAATATCAATATTATATACGTTGATTGCTTATGCACCTAAATAATAATAAATAACATATTTAATGCTTACGCTTTTTAGATCTCTTGTCTTTAAAGCTATCGTCTTGAGACTTTGCATTGGTCTATCTCTCAGTATATATATATATATGTTTCAGATCTGGGTGAATCGGACCACAAAATAATGTAGCTGCCATATAAATGGTCAATGGTATAAAAACCAAAACAAACATTGTTTTTCCATTCATTAATAATACTGTGCTCTTTTTATCTGAGCTATGTCTCATCCACATCAGAATAGTCGGTCGAAAATGAGATTTCGTAGGCTTTCAGTTTTTCAAGATATCTTCTCCAAGCTCAAGACTTGCGAGCACTATTCTACTTATATATCTGCAAAGCCGAGAGTCATAATTCTACAATAGTTTTAAATTTTATGCTTTAATAATATGGCATTGGTAATAAGCCAGCGCAGCTTTTGTATAAAAACATATTGGCTGCTTTGCTGCTTAATAAGAGTCATATCAAGATCAGACTATTAAATTATATGGGAATAATCCGCCGAAAAAAATAGATTTTGTATTATATAGTTATCTGCTTCAACTCTTTGAACTTATATTTTTATTATGATTAGCCACGCAACAAGCCAGAAGAGATAATCAAAACAAACAAAAACAATAAATTGATAATCTTAAAAAGCTTTTTATGTTTATTCACCGACCGACTTATACTAGAATTATATTGCGAACTTTTGAAAAGAGTGCACCTTCGAATCTGAATGTCCAATTCGCTCAGAGCTTGCAAAATATATTTCGGATTTGGTAGTCGCGAGACAACAGCCGAACGATGAACACGGTTCTGAAATTAGTCGCGTTTGCACTTCTCTTGACAATTATCTCTGGGGCTTCTCCCAAATATGACAAGGCTATTGGGGGTGACTGGTACGAGATGCAGAATGAGTTTTATACAAAATGTTGCGAGAGAAATGGAAAGAGCAGTGTTGAGATGTGTGGAGAATATGCAGCTCGCGAGACAACGGAAGTTTCAATAAGCAAAGTGGCTAAATTGGAAGCACAACTTCAATCTGATCTGGAAAAAGCTGAACCAAACGATAGGACGATTTTGGGCGTAGCTAGTGATAAGCGAGAGTATTTAAGAAGATGTAAAGGGTCAGGTATGTGTCAGTTCAGCATTTCGCAAAATGTGCGAAACATCTAAATGAGATTAACTCTAGACTCTACTTTTTTACTTTCAGGTTCAACAGCGTCGGGCCCAACTATTATGGGAGGTTTTTTTTATATATTAATTATTTATGTTTTTATTTTTTAATGGTCGGCCAAAACGAGTGTCTTTATTAATTATATGCTAAAGTCCCCTTAGGTCTATATCACAAAATAGAAATAAGTTACTGAATATATATATATGTATATTAAGCAGAAGAAAGAAAAATTAAGTGGGTGTACGAGTCGTTTTCAAATAGAATCTACTATCGTTCCGAATTATCAGCTGAAAAATGCAATATATATAATTATAAATTATATATAGTTGCATGTATATATATATATAAATATATGTATTATTAATTTTCGGGTCTCATCGTGATCAATTTTGCAAAAAACAAAGCTTTCAAATTATTCCAAGAATTACATTTAAATTCGATTTAATGAGTTTTACGACTTTGTCTTGTTTTAATCCCGAAATCGTGTACAATATTTTTTCAAGCTTTGAATAATATAATTGGAATATTTTTATTAGATCTGTCTATATGTAATTATGTGACAGGATAAACCTCTTCTAATTATTGCACATTTGTTTTAGTTCCCAACGACAAACCCAATTTATTATACACGATTCGCATGCCTGGCTTCTGTTAAAAAAATAGATCAAATAATTAATAGTTAAAAGCAAAAAAATGTGCATCCGAGCGGCTTAATGCAGCAGTCTTTTTGAGCCATGCTGATGTCCAATCAAATTGCCACTAAATGTCACAGACTTGCACATTTTATAACTCATTAAATTGACTTTAAGCCAGCTTTTATTTCGCTTTGGCAACTTTTCGCATTAATCCGCTTGTTCAACTTTCATTACATTTGCGCTTATCTGCATAATTGAAATGAATGTTTAACGATATTTGTAATTTAAAAACGAAATTAAAGGAGCACAACACAACACAACACAAAAAAAAAAAAAAAACAAATAAAATAAGCCGAACGCAAATGTGCATTGACATATGAAAAACACATCATTAAATTATAAATAACCAAATTAAACAATTAATTGCCAAGGACAAACAGTGTTAAAAAATGAAATAAAATTAATACAAATAAAAGTAAAAAAAAAAAAACAACAAATGTGAATATAAAAAACTTAATCATTGACAAGAGCAACAAATTTAATTTCGCATTTGAATGCACAATTTAAATGCATTCATTGGACTATTCAAGCACTCACTTTAGACTCACAAGTAATTAAAATTTAAATAACTATCACTTGCGCATACACTGGCCAACAAAAGAAACGTTTCTGGCTGGCTAAATAAGCAAATACATACTATATATTAGGCATACGCAACATGCAACGAAAGCAAAAGTGAGCAAAAAAAAACGAAAAAAAATTATAATTAAAAAGAATTAAAAATAAAGAAATGAAAGCGTCGACAGGCCGACAAACAAATAAAATTCATTAACATGATTCTAATTACAACAGACAAAAGCAGTGACAGTTAACATGGGCGTGGCTCTGGGAGGGTGAGGGGGGGCCTCTCTGTGTGCATTTTGCATACAAATTGCCAAATTAATGAGCAAAACTCAGTCGCAGTAAATAAAAGCAAATAAATTTGTAAATACACACACACACACACACAAAACAAAACAAGTAAGAGGCTCTACTCGGGAGCTCCCGACTAGGGGATACCCTAAGCCCTCGTCTACCAACACCAAATGCAGCTCGCGCTCGTTTGCTTTGATAATAGAAAAATGATATACATTTAAAAATACTTGATATGTGTATATACACTCTAGCCCTTTTAACTTACGAGCTTTTGCTCATAAAACCGCATTTCGATATCGATTTTTATCGATTACTTCGCAACGGGACAAGTTATCGAATATCGGGCACTAGTAGGACCCACATTTAAGACTTCAAGTCTCTAGCTCTTATAGGTTCTGAGAGACGAACACGGCTAGATCGACTCGGCTATTGATGCTGATCAAGAATATATATACTTTACGGGGTGGGAGATTCTTTCTTCTGCCTGTTACATACATTTACACAAATACATTATGCCCCTTTTAACCCTTTTCAATGGGTTCAGAGAATCAAGAGCGTGCTCGAGTAGCAGATACCTTGTGTCCAGCTATGCAATTGCAGCTGTCATTTTACCCGAAATAAGCAAGCGTGATTCCATAAACACTAAACATACTGTTCCTTCTGCTTAACTATATTATGCCCTGACGTCCTTTATAATACGTGGCTACAGGGTATCATTGGCAGAGCTATTCTGGCAAATTAATAACTTGTTGGCATGGCTAATTGGAGGCTAAGCAAATATTTGCGCTTCAATGCTCTTCGCATGGCCAATAAATTATGCACAGCAGATGCTCAGTTAAATGGCGGGTAAATTAACCCCCTTGCGAACATTTTGTGTCGAACTCATTTAAAAATTCTCGAAGCTACCTGCTGCACAGATTTGTCTCTATTGCTAATGCTTCAACTAAGCCGTTTGTGAGTTATTCCCTTAAAATAAAATACATTTTATGGATATTTTAAATTTTTGGCCAGACTTTTTGCACAGACTTGGCTTGCCCACTCCAGTTAATAAGCCCGGCTATTTGTAGAGCAGCTGCATTTTACGAGCTTAGCTCTTTAGCTTTGCCAAACGTTTTTGGGCACACCGCAGCACTGGCAAGGTTAATCCTTGCTCCGGACCTGAACGTCAGTCACTTAGTTGCACTCGCCCGTACTCATCGACCAACTCGGCTCCAAGTTATGCCTGGCTTTTTGAGGTATCTCTGCTGGGTTGAGTGTCTGTTTGTGGGCGGCATATGCGGCGTATACGTAACCTGGCTGCAAACAGCCGCAAACAGAAATCGAGACACATGCACAACGAGGCGCACCTGGCGCAGCACCTGGCTGCACATACAAGCACCTACATGTGTACGTAGTT